TGAGCTGGAGTCTTCCCCAGAGGTCCTCAGGAGGAGAAAGTCAACCAGCTCCCCAAACACAGCAGAACCAGTAAAGCCACTGTCACAAGAGTGCTTTAAGGCTTTCACAGAAGAGAGAAAATAAAAAAGGTTTAACAAAAAAAAAGGTAAGGAAGAATAAAGGAGGCAGAGAAGAAAGAACTAACAATGAGCAGGAAAGAAGTGGCCAGTGGCAGGAAGTGAAATCCTGTCACCAACAATAGCTGTGGAGGCGAGGGGACTGGATAAAGCAGAGTGAACTCTGAGAGAGACACACCCAGTTGCCTGGGGACTGATAAAGATGATTTTTCAAACCCAGAGCCACACCCCTTATAAGAACTCCAGAACTTGCTATTTCTGCCTCATTTGTCTGATAGACTACCTTATGTCTGTTCTAATACCAAAATGTGAGCGATTTCTGACAAAAGTAGAGTCAAGATTCTATGATCCCCTGAATCACTGAAACATGTTTACAAAACATCTGACATAAAAATATGCTTTCTAAATATATGTATTTGAACGAACACTGTGCCTAAGGTGTGACCTTGGTGATATCATTTTTAACTATTCTGTATTTCCACCTAGTCCAACTCTTTTGCATCTCTGTATTTCCAGGGCTAGAAGGAAACCCAAGTGATTAGCTATAGCCAGGGCTGTAGTCTACCCAACTCTTTTTGGACAAGGCAGGATGACAAGGAAAGGGACTTACATTTCCACAAACTTGACCCTCTCCTACATCTTGCTCAGTTCTATCTCATGTTGTGGCTGCAGGAAAGTTCCCTGCCATCTCTTAGCCACAGTTGCAGTATCAGGAGAACAATTATCTCTACTTACTCTCAAGGAACAATGAGAAAATGAATTCACTAATAATCTTGAAATTATTATAAGAAAACAAAAACCTGATACTAATGATTAGTAGATGCAAACTGCTGGATCCACTGAATTTATACCCATCAGGAAAGTATCACCTGCTGACCCTGGATTTTTCGTGCCTCCACTAACCACCTATACTGTCACTTCCTCACACCCTAAGAGAGTGCACACGGTGCTATGGAAACAAGACCGCACTTACCTGGACTGTGGGCCAGCAACTTAGCCAAGTTTCCCCTAAAACTTGGGAGGGACTTTGGGGAAAAACAATTTCACTTTCTGATTAAATATGATCTTTTAATTGCTTTCCTTATTATTACAGGAAAGCACACTAATTTACTAAAGATTTAAAGTCCATGTGTCTAAAAACAATAACTATTTTTGTTGCAACTGTTTTTAATGGCTTAATTATTTATTGCCACCTCTCTCTGGAATTTTATCTGGAGCATGAAAGTTGAAGGTGTGACTCACCTTATCTCTGATTAACTACCCTGAAAGGGGGGTTGAGACATGCCCAAATGTGCCCTTCACAGAACTAAAGAGCCCGAAGACACTCTTGCTGTTCATGAACAAAACTGGGAGTGCAAGCTAGAGAAGTGCAACTTAAGTCTCACCTTAGCTGCACTGTTTTCAAACTTAGAACAATGTGGTAAAACTCGGTTTAGAAATAAGATCAGGGCCGGCCCCGTGGCTTAGCGGTCAAGTGCGTGCGCTCCACTGCTGGCGGTCTGGGTTCGGATCCCGGGCACGCACTGATGCACCACTTCTCCCGCCATGCTGAGGCCGCGTCCCACGTACAGCAACTAGAAGGATGTTAAACTATGATGTACAACTACCTACTGGGGCTTTGGGGGAAAATAAATAAATAAAAATTATAAAAAAAAAAAAAGAAATAAGATCAGATGGGCCAGCCGGGTGGCGTAGTGGTTAAGTTTGCACGCTCTGCTTCGGGGGCCGGGATTTGCAGATTCAGATCCCAGGCACCGACATATGCACGACTCATCAAGCCATGCTGTGGCAGGCGTCCCACATATAAAATAGAGGGAGATGGGCACAGATGTTAGCTCAGGGCCAATCTTCCTCACAAAAAATAAATAAATAAAAATAAAAAAGATCAGAAGTTCCTTATAAGACTAAGGGAAATGAAAACCACACTATCCATGTTCAATCCACATTCTTTTGCACAGCTCCTGATAAACTGCTTTGCAACTTACCTGGTGATGCTTGTCAGTCCTGCATCCCACCCGCCAGGGTAGATTTCTGAACCTCATGGAAAAAGCCCCACGTCTCCACTAAGCACAGACACTAAAGCAAGTTTCTTAGGAAGGTAAAGGGGGAGGAGGGTTCATTAGAGAAATGCTTTGCTCATGGTTCAGCTTTTTTTTTTTTTTTTTGTGAGGAAGATCAGCCCTGAGCTAACATCCATGCTAATCCTCCTCTTTTTGCTGAGGAAGACCGGCTCTGAGCTAACATCTATTGCCAATCCTCCTCCTTTTTTTCCCCAAAGCCCCAGTAGATAGTTGTATGTCATAGTTGCACATCCTTCTAGTTGCTGTATGTGGGACGAGGCCTCAGCATGGCCGGAGAAGGGGTGCGTCGGTGTGTACCCGGGGTTCCGAACCCGGGCCACCATTAGCGGAGCGCAAGCACTTAACCGCTAAGCCAGGGGGTTGGCCCTTTGCTCATGGTTCAAAGTGCACCATATCCATCTTTTCTCAGAGTAAATAAGTCCTTTTCTCCCCACATTCCATTTCTTAAGTTTGGGAGTAGGTAAATGTAAACTGTACCAAAAATAACACAGGATTATAACGCAACATGTGCCCAGGGCCCATTAGAAATTGGGATGGCTCTTCGGTGGCACCTGGAGGTCCTAGGAACGGAAGTCACAACTCCCAACCTCCACCCCTATCTCAACTCCTGGGACTGTATCAGAGGGCATGACAGTCGTCAGGCACAGTTCTGGCTAGAACTGCTGACTGTTGACTACCCTAGAAAGCAAATGTTCTGAGATTCTGTGTTCAGGCCTAAACCCCAAAATCAAAGCCAGGGACGCGTGGAAAGAACAGGAGCAGAGATAACGGAGGAAGTCTTCTGAGGACAGACCACCTATCCACAGCAAGCCCAGGTGGAAAGGCCCGGCTTCAGTAATGTTTTTGGAAGCAAATATTCATTTGTTGCTCCTCTTACCACATAAATATACTCAATGCTTTTATAGCAAGATTCCAGGTTAATCCCAAGAACTCACAAGGGAGGATTTTATTACAGAAGTAATCAAAAGCATCATGACAGGCAGGTTTGCGTTGAGGTTAGGAGCAGTGGAAGCATCCAGGCCCAGGCTCTGGAGAAGCCCTTTGTACAGGAAATCCCACCCCTCTGGCAAAGCTTCACTCTCACTTCAATTTCAAGTCCCCAAATCAGATTTTAAAAGCGCCCCTATAAAGAACTGCAGAAAAAATAAACAGGTCCTGTGCTTTTCCTGGAACTTCTGGCTCCCAGGACAATATCAAATTACAGGGCTTTCCTTCCAGGATATAGTCTCTTTTCTTTCTTTTCTTTTTTTTAAAGATTATCACACATGCACCCTATGGTGTGTCTACCATTTCAAATACCTTGCAAATACATCCCCATTCTCAATCTCTCTGGAGTCTCCTAAGAATCTAGGAGGAGCTAACGAATGCAATTTGAATAATAATGAAGCGAATGAACAATTTAATTACCAAAGGTAGCCCTAGAGACTCCAACAAAAGGGTTGAAAGCCTTTATCTACAAAAATGTGGCCACGTGCTCAACTGTGGGACCAATTATGGGGTGTGCAGAAGAGATAAGTGCACAGGTGCACACACCAGTTTAAGCAAATGGGGAATTAGCACAAAACCTCGCTGGAGACAGGACACTATGAAAAAGGATGACTTGGAAAGCTTCTTTCTCAGCTATCAGGCTCAAGGTTTAGTTAACTTTCTTCCCTTTCTGATTAACTGAAAGTAGCACCTACCACATGTAAAATAATGAAAACTGTCCTCCAAAGAAAGGCTTTGTATAACAATTTAAAATAAGTTCTATGAATTTTCAAAGTTCTTCAAATCAACAGTCACAAAGGTACTTTTATCCCTCATACAATTTCCTCAAAGAGAAAAGTTTTAAAGTTAGCTCCTTCTCTAGGATGCATACAGCTTCAGCTAGATGTTATGTTTAAAAGCCTTATTCTGTTGACCTTTCCAAGTGACCTTACAATAAAGGACTTTTTCCTTGCTTTGGAGGAAAACAAAAAAAAAATGAACCTTTCTGGAATACTAAAAAGCTCTCAATTTCCTTAGGCCTTAAGAACTAACTAAACGTAGGACGCCCCCACAGGCTGAACAATTGCTAAATCCCGCTTCTTGAACAGGAAACAGAGTTCGCTTCGGAGTGGCAATGTATTTCCCCGCCCCGCGCTCACTCCAGGGCAGGCGCTGCCATGCCCAGGTGGTGACACTGAGCAGAGATAAGGTGTCCTAACAACCGTATTTGCCTGGATCCTGGGAAACCCGCGGCCGCTCGGCGACACCGATATCTCCTAGGCGCATCCCCCCCCGCCGCAGACCTGGGCGGCCCCCGGACCCCTCCCCCGGCGACAGAGGGTGAGACTGACACCCGCAGCTGCCGACGACCCTGCCAGTCACGCTGCCGCCGGCTGCCTTTTTTAGCCACGACATCTGACCCCGGCTTCGACAGCAGCATTCAGGGAGAGGTCCCAGGGCGCGCCGGGCTGTCCCCTCCCCTTCCCAATCCCCAGACCCTGCGGAGAGCTCGGGGTGAGGGGCGGGGGAGGTACTGGCCCTGGAAGGGGGCTGAGAGTGCGCGTCCCTCCTGGCCAGACGCTTCCTCTCTGCCCTCTCCACTGCTCCCGGTTCCCCCTCTACCGCCTGCACTCGGCCGCCCCATTTTGCAGCTCGCGATCGCTCCTCAGAAGCCCCTCCCCACCCCCACCCCGCAACTCTGCTCTCCTGGATCCCCTCCAGGTCGGCGGCCCGCGCGCCCTGCCGGGCCCGGGGCGGGAAGACACCGAGGGAAGGGAGCGGGTGCGAGCAGAGCACGCGCGGGGCTGGCGGCCAGGCAGGGGACCCCGCGCTCACCTCCCTCCTCCGCCCCGCTGTCCGGGTCGGCGTCTGAGGAGTCGGGCCCGTCCCCGTAGTCCGCTAGCCCCACCAGCTCATCCTCCTCCTCGTCGTCGTCCTCGTCCTCCGGCTGCGGCTTCCCCAGCACCTGGCTCATCGCGCCCACGGCCGGCCGTCCCGGGGGCGGCGGGGGTCCCTGGTGGGGGCCAAACCTCCTCGCCTGCCGCTCACAACAGCTTTCTGAATTGGGGTTTTGTCTGGAGGTTCGTGGGAGCCGGCGGAGGCGGGGGCCGCGCGTCCCCCGCGGCAGGCGGCGTCCAGGTCTGGGTCCCGCGGTTCCCAGCGCGCCCAGAGCCCCCTGCCCCGCCCCGCCCGCCTGCCCGCGGAGGAGTCAGCCGGAGCGCGGCAGTTCCTCCCCGAGGAGGGAGAGAGAGACTGCGTGACCCAAGTCACCTGACACACACTGTCACACACTCACACACACACACCCCGCACGGGCGCGCGCGCGCTTTCCCGGGCGCAGGCACCGCTCGGCGGGCGCTGGGCCGAGGCCGCGCACACACAAACTCGGGGGGAGCGGGGCGGCGCAGGGCCCCCACCCTCCCAGAGGCGCCCACAGACACACGCCCCGGACCCGGGGCCCCCGGACGCGGCGCAGTCACCCACCGCGGCTGCGCGCCAGCGGCCCCCACGCGCCCCTCCTGCACGTGGTCCCGACACAGGCGGGCGAGCTAGGGGCCTGCGCACCCTGAGAACCTCCCAGATACACACACCCTACCTTGGGCGACCTTTTGCAGCTTTCAGTCCTGGACTAGGCTTCCAGTCCCAAGTGTGTGCCCCAACCCCCCACCCCCCAACACTGCTGCGCCCAGGCCTCTGCCCAGAGCAGCGTGCTTAGAACACCCCGTGGCTGCTGAAGCGCCCCAAGAAGAAAACTCCGAGAAATGCACGGCGGAGGCGCCGTCTCCATAGCAATTGCCTTTCAGTGTTCAAAGTGCTTCCCCACCAAGAGTATTCAAAAATCAGGCCTACCCAGATGTAAACGTTTCTAAAAAAATAACATGCCTCGTGGCTGCCTCGACTGAATAAATAATTCCTCTGCAGCGTTTTGGAAAAGGTCTCAGGTGTATAACACACTCAGGGGCTATTCATGGCCACCTCCTCCTGTCTCATTGTTGCGTAGACTGTAATCCCACATCTCAAAATAAAATGTTTCAAGGCTTTTGTGTGTGGGGAGGTGTGAGGGGGGACAATTCTCACATAGGAATAGCAGCAATGTGGGTGTGAGGCTAAAACCTGCGTTCCTCCACAAGCTTTTCACCACAGGACACACTGTACCCACCCTTTCTGGAGACTGCAAAAAATCACGTGGATGAACTTCCTTCTGTCAAGCGCAATAAGAAATAAACCAGCCGACCAGCATGGTGATCCAGATCCTACAGGTGCCAGCAGCTCAGCAGGTGGTGTGGGGGAGGAGAAGAGGAGGAAGGGAGCTGAAACTGGAGGCTCTCGGTGCTGCCTCTGTAGGGAACATTTACTGAGCGCCTACTATATGCCAGGGGCTGGGCTCAGGCGGCAGTCGGGGGTGGAGGGCGAGGGGGTCCACATATGCTCAGAACAATGTTCCTGCCCTGCAGGAGCTCTCAGTATACCAAACCATGATTCCTGTCCTGGATTTTACACTAGTTGTGGGTGTTGAAGGTGGATGCACACACCTTCTAGGAGGTGGCTGTTTCTATTTGGAAAGGTCTCTGGATTTTCCAGTTGGAGGCGGTATGACTTGGTATGACTGTATTCGTCAAGGTCCTTCCCAGGAGGAAAACAAATGGTTATACAAAGATTTTAACTTCAAAGGCTTTAAGATGTAGGGGAGGAAGAGAATTCTGCTACCCATTCTAGGTCCTTCTGGCTGGTCTACAAATTAAATTGACATGAGACAGAATAACAAGAGAAAATCAATTTTTTTTTTTTTTTTTTGTGAGGAAGATCAGCCCTGAGCTAACATCCATGCCAATCCTCCTCTTTTAGCTGAGGAAGACTGGCCCTGGGCTAACATCTGTGCCCATCTTCCTCAACTTTTATATGGGAGGCCGCCACAGCACGGCCTGACAAGCAGTGCATTGGTGCGTGCCCAGGGTCTGAACGCCTGGCAGCCAGCAGCAGAGCACACACACTTAACCGCATGCCATGGGGCCTGCCCCCAAAATCAAATCTTAATAACACAGATACATGGGAGAAACCCAGGAAAACTGGGTAACTCACCAAAATGGCTGAGCTGCCAGCTTAAATATCATCTTCAGCTAAAGACAAAGAAGGATGTTGGGGGTAGTGGTCTGGGACTTCAAGGGAGAGGAAGGCAATTTATATGGAGATGGAAATGTAAATGGGCCAACTGCAGACAATGTGACCTGAGAGACGAGTTTTACATTACATTACAGTTAATATGGCATTAACTTATGGCATTAGCTCCTTGCTGGAACAGACCCTTCTATTTTAAATTTTTTAGGCAGCTGGGGAGGGTGTCGAAGTTTCTTTCAGAGTCTTTTGTTCTTAAAAATAAATAAAGAGACACATATTGGGGTGGCCAATTCTGATCCCCCACAAAATGAAGGGACAATTTACAGGAGTGTGGGCAGAGTTTAGGAATCAACATAGGGATTAGCAACAGTGGGAACAGATTATCACCCCTAAACCAGTAGGAGTAAAGGAAGGGAACTAGAGTCCTGGAGGGGGCAGGAGACGGGAGCTACAGCTGGTGAGGATGCAGCCACTGCCAGAACCACCTCGCATGGAGACAGCAGTGGGAAGAAATACCCTCATCTCTGTCTCCTCCCACCTTCCATTCTCCTGGAAGTGCCTCCCATTGGCCAAACCCAACTGGAAGCCAGAGGGCAAGGGAGCCTGGAACCTAGTCTAGGACACAGAGATTGGGTAGGGAGGGCAGAAAGTAGGTCCCAGGCTAGGGTGGGGTGGGGGGCAAACAGCATAACCAACACAAGCAGACCCTACTTGCTCTTATAAGAGGAAGTTACTCTAGGGGTAATTTGCCTAGTCCATTTTCATCCATTCTAGAAAAGAAAGTCCCCAGGAGGAAGGGCTCTCCCAGAGTAGGTTTAAAGACTTTCAGCTATCCTACAACAAACCCATCAGCCTGGCAAGGCCGTGGAGCTGGCCTGATTCAAGAGGGCTAGTTATGGAAGCCAGTCTAAGGTCAGCCCAGACCGTCAGGGCATCCTTGGGTTGGTGGCTGAGTGTGTGTCTCGGGGACCCAGGGGTTCAGGACAGGACAATTCCTAAGTTAAAAGCCCCACTGTGCCTGAGACCGAGAAAGGGTGGAGATATCTGATGATCCTCTGCCAGCCCCAAAAAGCAAGGTCTTAGGGAGAACACCGCAGTAGATTGGAACACACCCTAAGATATTTGAGAATTGGACCATTCTTGAAAAGAAAAGAAATAAATCCACAAAAAATCAGTGAAAGCCAAATCATCAATTATGCCCTACCCAAGGTAGATAAAAGAGTCATACACAGGTTTAAGAGACTCTAATTCATTTTCATTTCAGAAATGTACAGTATTGATAAAGTGTGAGGAAAGAAAACAGGAAAAAATTATATTGCTTTAAATCTTTTGTTATCATTTCAATACTGTCAGCTTTCAAATAAGGGATATGTTGAAAAATATCTTAGAAATAGAAGTTCTTAAATGTAAAAAGTCATGTGTGTGGATTCTTTCAGAATTTGAATAAAAATAGAAAGCCTTTGAGAAATTCTGTGTGGGATCTGCTCAGTGAATTGGCGACTGCCTCGGCCATTCTGGCCTGGAGCTCAGGCCGTCTGTGATGTCTCCCCAGGAGAGCGTTCTCAAGAACCTGAGGATTTGTCTCTGGGCGACCCATGGGTTTTGCTGCTGTATGTAACCATGGCAGTTGCCATATACTAGGTAGGTGCTTAATAAATGTTTATGGAATGAATGAAAGAAAAGAAAGGAGATAGATAGTACATGGCCAGGTCTCTACAGAGACCTGGCATAACTTCAGGAAGAGAGTGAAGCCAAGTTTTAATTATTTTAAGCCAAATTTTGATTATCTTACATGCCACAGTGAGGTAAATATGAACTGTGAGCCACAAGAGCACAACCAGGAATGAGCTGACATGTGAGAGGTGATGACTTTTAGGCCCTCATCTCTTTGGGACGGCCTGAAGATTTGGAGGAATTACAATACAATGACTCAAATATTGATTTTATTTTTAGTCACCCTTCCTTCTAAAAAACTCTTAACTTTTAGAGATATTTTGTAGCATCATGAAAGATGAGCATTGTCTATTGTCTGTTAAAATTTAATCAACTAATATTTACTGAGATTTTCTGTAAATGAGGCACTGTTCCAAAATAATATTCTTTTGGAACATAATAATACTTTCAAAATATTCCCATTAAGTCAGTCATATTGTTGTCCTTACTGTACAGATAAGAAAATTGAGGTTACACAGTTCGCCCAAGGTACCACACAGAGTGGATGGTGGGACTACTTTGGAACTCAGCTGGACATCAGACTTGGTTCCTATTTAATTGCCTGAGACTAAAGTCAATTACATTTAGGCTTCAACTGAAAAGGGGGAGGGGTAGTGAAGAGCTGGTTCCTAATCTCGTAGGTAAAGAAGCAAAACACACAAAGACACACAAAAATGGGCCTGTTGTCTCAGGCCATTTAATTTACAGGATTCACTAAAAGGAAGAAAAAAAACTGAACAGCTTCCTAACCAACAAAAGTTAGAAAACTACTTATCACAATAAAATTGTTGATCGTCATCACTCCTTTTATTAGGAACACAAATAGCAAGTGATTAGAGCCCTTTCTGATTTATGTGGCTATATTGTACTATTTGCTAAGCTAAAGAAAAATATCTAAGTGTATTTTTGTTTAAGTTTTGAATTTTAAAGGCGAGAAGTTTGTGCCCTTATTATAGTGAATGATTTTGCTCCTACCAATTTGATGTCTTGTGACAAGGAACACGAGAGCTATTTAAGAGAGACCTGTACAATTTAGGCAGAATAATTTCAGTCCTGAATAGGGCAAGCAATTAAATACAGCCAGCATCCTGCATCTTAGGGTATTTTGAGGCATCTGATGGCATTGTGCCTGGTTCCTGGGATTCACATGTTGAAAGCCTTTCAGGCTTTCTTTTTAAATATGTATTTAAAGCCGTTAATTCTCTCTTGAAGCAAACAAAGGAAAGAGCCTTCTACAGAATCTTGCTGGACTCCTGCTGATCCAAGGAAGCCAATCAAATTTTTCAAGAGGGCAGCTCACAGTCTCTGGTTCCCCTAAGATAGTTGATAACTGGATGAAATCATCAAAAATCATTATCATTTCCACTGAGGCAATCTTCATTAAAGAGATTTTGTTAAAATAATGTTTTGAGATTTTTAAAACATGCATATGGTAAAATAGTCAAACAGCATAAAAGAATACCCAATGAAATGTTAGTTTCTCTCCTTCCCCTGACCTACAGTC